AGGAGCACCGCTACCCGCGGGGTAGGGCAGGGCCCGGTGTGGGCGCTGGGGAAGCAGAGGGGTGAAGTTGTGCGCCCTGTTGTAAGGAACTCGAAGAATCTTGAAGTGCTCCCAGCCCTTCCCCGGCTGTGAAAGGGTGGACGGGGTTCATGGTAAAACACGGTGGGAGCGTGAAGCTGAGCTTCTCGTGGGGGGTCATCCTGTAACGTTCAGGGGAAGGAGAAAGGGCTTCTAGGAAATGTAAAGGCCTTTCTATGAGGTGCAGGTGTAATCCATCCTCCTTCTATTACCATATCGAATTTCAGATGTTCTACCAAATAAAAAAGCCGAGGTAGAGAGGCTGTCAGGTTAATTAGAGTACTTCTATCAAAGGGCAATAAAAGATCTTAGCTCACTTAGCCAGGAGAAAGTGAAAGCAGCAACTTAAAGTTCCTTGGTGTTCATTAATAGCTCTTTGAGAAAGGAAGAGAGTTGCATCAGCTGTAAATATTGGCACAGAACAAATGTGTGTGTGGATGGGGCTTGGCTGTGAGTAAGTCTGAGCTGATGGGCGAAAGGCCGTTGGCTTGCCTTGTAGAAGACATTAAGGTGGGAAAAATAATTGGGGGTTGCATGTGCCTGAGGATTCCTGTTGTTTCCCTGATAATATAGTAGCATACAAATGATACCTGACACTAAGAGTGCAGTGCATCATATAAATAGCACATAAATTATTTTATTAGCCAAATGTTTTAAGTCAAAGCCTACTTTCTCTGCCACATACATACAGGTTAACACAATTTAGGTGGGGTGATGGGATCTGTTTCTCCAACGTTCTCTGTCCTTTTTGTCTTCCACTGGCTCCCCCGTCCCCCACGGAGCAGAGGGCCCCCGAGGAAGATGGTGGCGACCAGCAGGAAACATAGCTGCGGCTCTACCAGGAGCTTGCCTGCGCTCGTGGGCTGTTTGAGTGGGAGGCTCACGTCCTCTTTGAGGGATCAAGCTTCAGAAGGAAAGGGTTTGCGATCCCGCTGCGGTCTGGTGGTGCTGCTAAGCCTGCAGCTGTAGCATGGCTCCTGCTCCCATCTCTGATGCTCTTCAGATATGCAAATATAAAATGAATGAGGAAGTGAGAGAAATGGCTTGAATGCATTCCTCTTTGGTCAGAAAGAAAACACATCAACTTTATTTTTGTATCGCAGCTGGGACCTCTTTTTAGTTCAGACTTACCTATTAAATAAATTGGTTGAACGATCACAGGGAAACCAGTGAACATAAAGAATATTTTGGGGGGAAAAAAGTATGTTACCTGCCATCTGCAGCATCTGAAGATCAATGCTTGCAGCTTACTCCAAAGCTGTGAGCTTGGTGTCATTTCTGAGTTGGGATCTTGTCACGTGTGACAGCACTTTACGCACGGGAAGCAGTTCTCTACCTCTTCTCCCAGTCCCAGTTTATTTAAGTCTTTGCCACACTAGCAGTTGGGAGTACACTTTCTGTTAAAAACATTGGGGAGAAAACGGTTGTAAAATCAAATCGGCAGGGGATGTGGCGGCAGGAGTAACTGAGTATTAACTTTTACGAGCAGTGACTGAGTCTGCTTCCCCCTCACCAGGGTATTACTGAAGCACAGTAGTGTCCTTCAGCACAAAGTGTGGAGTTCTAGTGCTGTCACAGACAATGCAAATGCAACGTGCTCTCACTGGGTGCTGGGCAAAATTAAATTAGGAAACCTGCCTTCAAAGTCTTCATTTGTGTGCCTCTTGCTGGAGAGAGGTGCATCAGAATATCAAAATCCAGTATTGACTTACATGGTTTTTTAAAATAGGTTTGGAAGAAAAAAAGTGTTGATGTCTCTTTATTTAGCCAGTACAGTTTATAAATCCTTCTGCTAAACAAGCTCCGGGATATAGCGTGTACGTTTGATTCTTTTGTGCAAAAGGACGCCAGAATTACGTTTTCCTTAACCTAAACCGGGCTGCTTTTTGCCATAAAGCAAAGCCTCTGTCAGTAGTACTGCTGCTCAGGGTTTGGCTAACTAGGTTTCTAGAAAAATTGTGGGGAAAGTAGGTTAATTAAACTACTCGGTCTCCTTCATTTAAACAGCCAAAGTGACTTCCACCCTGCAGCTGTGTGGTCTGAACAGAGATGTGTCAGTTGGAAAGGAGACTGAGCCCGTGCGAGGGAGCTGAGACTCCTCTACGTAGAGTCATTAGTCTCTGAGTAAGTTTGGAGGTAGAGTTTCTGTGGGGGTTTTCTGACCTTACCCCTGGTAGTTGCTTTGCTTTCAAGGCAACATAACAAACAAGAACTCTTTTCACTGGAGTAGTGTTCTCCAAAAGCCAATGGAAAGAAGGAAAATTAATGGAGAGGTGAATATTTTGTGTCCTTTGTTCCTTTCTTATTGCTTGTGGTATCGTCAGTACTGTGCAGTACCCTCCTGAGAGGGTTTTGCTCTGAAACCAACAGATCAGAAATGGAAAGCTTGTCCCAGTTCCAGGAAATGTGTGTTTTAATGCAAAATCTGAAGTGACAAAGGGAGAATTGAGCTTTTATCTACAAGATGAAGCTATTAATGTCCCTGGTTTTTTTCCTTGTTGCTAGCATTTGTCATTGGTTACAATTTCAGGCTGTTTTTCCTCATTTAGTGAGCTTCTCCACCTGTTTCTGCTCCTCTCTAGCCTTCTGAAAGCTAACCTGGCAATTTTAACCTTCCCAAATGCAATCAACAGGGGAGGAAGAGGAAGGAAGCAAGCGTAAATGTGACCAGAAACTTCTGGATCTCTGGGGGCGAAAAGAGCAAAGATCAATACTTAAGAATTAAAATTGAAGCTTTACAGTCTTCAAAGTCATGTGTGTTGGGCTGTGTTATTCTGCCTTGGTACTGAAGTTACTTCTAACTTTTGCTGCCTTTAGGAGTGAGGGCCAGCATTCAAACGGGTGTGGAGTTACTGTATTTGGCAGGTTCAGCTTGGTAGACAAACTCACTGTTGTTGCTAATAGCTATGAAATAGTAGCTGGAGAAATACAGGTTCTGTGTGCTTGAGGAACTGAGTCTCTGGGATAGTAGTTTGTGATTTATTTTTTTCAGCGTGTCTCGCTTTGTAGGAACCGATTTGCACTATTCCTTCTGATTTTTTTCTTTTCATCCTCAAGATAGTCAGTATTGTTTTATATTTTCTGTGTTGCTTCTGCTGTTTCAATAATCTAACCATACCTTTTATGGGTTCAACTGATAAATGTTTAACTCTTCTAGTCCAGTGCAGCAAGCAAGTTCTAGCCAGTGCTTCTGTAACATGAAGCACTGCTGCTTGTCCCCCAGTGAAGAGCACTGGCGAGCTTCCCCTCAGAGCTGTTTAAATAACCTGGTGGGTGAACATCTTGTTGGTTTGAATTCCTTTGCCAGGTGCTGTCGGACGAGGAGAAGAGGAAGCAGTACGATGCGTATGGTGAGGAGGGATTGAAGGATGGGCACCAGAGCTCCCATGGAGACATCTTCTCACAGTAAGGAGATTTTGCCACTTTAGACTGTTCTGCAGTTGGTGATCTAATATTGTGATGCTCGTGCACGTGTTTGATATGGGCAAATTCTGCGTTAAGGTCTTTGACCCAGTCAGGAGGCGCTGTTCTGAAGTGACAGTTGAGATTTGGAAAAAGACGTTTACAGTGGATATCCCATGTGCAGTTTTCAGTTGTCTGGCTTGCGTCAGGCCGTGCTCCAAGAACAGCGGATAGGAACCGATGTTGTCTTCCCACATGGATGGCTCTTACTTGGCAAGCTGCGTCACCAATGTGGGTGATTTGTGCAGCTGCAGCACCTTACAAATCACGTCTGAACTTTCTGGGGTTCTCTGGTACGTGATTGAGGTTTAACCCATTGTCTCAGATCATGCGTGTGCTTTGGGGGTTGCTTTTTCTTTTGCGAAGTAATGCTGTAGTGGCTTACGCTGCGTTTCGGAGCAACTGTAGAAGTTGGATTGTTAAAATCTGAAGGCACCTGCATGTTGCTCAAGCAGAACCTGAGCCTCTCTTTGTTTAAGGTCCCTCTTGGTTCTGCCAGGCACAAGTTTACTGAAGTAATTCCTGCAGTTGCTCATCTCATGTCATCGTTCTGGGTGAGAGCTCGCACTGCCTTCTGGTTTATTTTGAGGAAGAACATGCAGACTCACAAGGGAGGTTTTTTTTCTTGTATCCCTTTTCCCTCAACTACTGAAAACCAACCCGGTGGCATTGACTTGCAGTGCCACAGGTAGCATGCTACTCAGAGTTTGCACCTTGTGGTGATGGCAGCTGAGCAGCAGTGCGGTATGGTGAGGACTTCCCTTTGCAGTCAGGTTTTCAGGTGCTGGCATTCAACTTCTGCTCCAAAACTTGTTTTCTTGAGTACAAAAAACCTCTTCCAAAGTGGCTGCTTTGTTTGAAGGTGTTAGCTTGTGTCCTTGAGGAGCAAAAAGTGGTACCTGGATTTACTGTGGTGTGTTTTTGCTGTAAGGAGGCTGTTCTGTAGGGGGCTAGAAGCGTTTACCAAGCAGCACGTTGCTGCTGCCTTGGGTGGCTCTCTTCATCGAAGCCCCATTTGATCGGAATTCCCTCCTGAACCGACTGCTGTGCTTTAATCCAGCTTCTTTGGGGACTTCGGATTCATGTTTGGAGGTAACCCTCGCCAACAAGACAGGAACATTCCCCGAGGAAGCGACATCATCGTGGACCTGGAGGTTACACTGGAAGAGGTGTATTCGGGAAACTTCGTAGAAGTGAGTTTGCTTTCCTGTCGCTCTTTCCAGTGTGTTCTCGGGTTTGAGATGCCTGGGCACTGCTCAGAATAATATCTTCTCCCCAAAAAATAGAATTAAAATAGATGCCCATTTCCTCAGTATCTGGCAGTGACAGTGGAGGATGTTGTGATGCTATTTGCTAGTAGTTAACTGAAGAAACAATACCTTTATTCATCTTTGCCATCTGGCAGTTTCTCTATAAAAGGGATGCTTCTTGCAATAATAGCTTATTTATTGGCTCTAAGTGCCTAGCTGTAGCTTTTTTTTGCAGTTGGAAAAGGTGAAAGTGCTCCCTCTCTAGAATTTGGTGATATTTGGGGACCATTCCTAGGCATGTAGCTTTCTCCCATTTTCAGTAATTCTTGCAAAACCTCACTGAGGATTTTTCGTGGCCTCTTCATGTGGCCAAACATGTCACTGCAGATCTCTGGATTATGTACTTGGCAAATGCATGCTGGCTTTTTTTTTTTTTTAAAGCAAGCTACACTTCTGCTGCTGACAATCCCTGCTGTTCTGCATGTTAGAATTTGTGTGGATTGAGCGTCTGGGTAAATGGGGAATTCCAAAGAATTTTTCCCATTGTGTGGAATGAGGAAGCTGTTGTAACCAAAGGTGTCAGAAGTTTCATCCTAGCGTTACCTTTCCTATTTAGAAAGGTGTGCCAGAAAAAGAAATAAAATGGTTGTAGTGGTGTCAGAGACAGGATTTTTTCTGATATTTTGGTATTTAATGTGTGGTCAGCCAGAAGTGTAAGGTGAAAACTTATCAGTCGTGTTTTGCCAAGACCATGTGGAGCTACTGTGGAGGCAGCAGAAAGTGCATTTAAAAAAGAAAATAAACTATGTTCAGGCTGTTTGAGAAATCCAGAGCCTTGTGGAGAGCCAGGAGTGCTGGTGTCAACCTCTTCCCTTCCACGCAGGTTGTCAGGAACAAGCCGGTGGCAAGACAGGCACCTGGCAAGCGGAAATGCAATTGCCGGCAGGAGATGAGGACCACTCAGCTGGGTCCTGGACGTTTCCAAATGACTCAAGAAGTTGTTTGTGATGAATGTCCAAATGTCAAGTGAGTTTTATGCTCTTTACTGCTATATGGATGTTTATTCAAAAGCTGCCACTAGATGGAGGAAAGTACCTGTACTACCAGTAAGACCTGGAGAATTTGGAAAACTTAACACAGGCTTCTCACCTCCAAGGAGCCAGTCTTTGCTCTTACAGTAGAGAAGCCAGCTCTGTTAGATGTAGAGCTCCCCAATTTGCTCTTTCAGCCTCTTATTCCTTGAACAATCAGTCATACTACAGTGGAAATTCCACCAGTAAATCTGAATAAACAAAGTCAGGGAAGCCCACAGCTTCCAGCTGGGAACAGTTGGACATGGAATACTGTGGTGTAGCTTTGCTTTTCCTACTAGATATGAGTATCAGCATACAAGAAAGGCAGCACTTGTCCTCCAGCTTTAGGTGTGAGCAAGGAGAGAGTATGTGTTAACTTGGGGTCTTCTCATTGCCCCTGTAATGTAAGTAGGTGCTACCACCTGCTGTTGAAAACCTAGTGCTTGCTCGCTCTTCCCCTTCGCAGGCTCGTGAATGAGGAGCGAACGCTAGAAGTGGAGATAGAGCCAGGCGTGAGGGATGGGATGGAGTATCCCTTCATTGGTGAAGGTACGTATATGGGCGCTGCCCTGCTGCTCAGCTCTGACTTGCGCTTTTTCTGTGATGCAAGGCTGGTCTTCATAGCAGTGCAAGCAGCCAAGCCCTGCGTTGGGTCACTGAGCAGCACGTGTGAGTTGAAGTGCTGTGTCCTCTCTGTGCTGCTGGAATCCAGGAGCATACTCTTTGCTAAGTCTGAGTAACGCTCCAAGTTCCACTCCCTTTGCTGGTACTGGTGGCACACACACACACAAAAAATGCTCTGCATCTGATCTCTGGGGTGACTCTTGAGTAGGAGCATCTGTTCCAGGCTTGAGTATGTGAAGGAATCCCCTCTGCCCAAGGAGATGAAGTCCTTCAACAAGTAAAGGACATCATTAAGAAGCAGGCAAGTCTTTCAGAACAGCAGAGCTATGAGCTCATTGAGGTGATACTCAAAGTCCTGTGCTCTTTAAAACAGGTGTGCGTAACCAGGGTTTTAGTCACGTGAAGATCAGCCAGTTGTTTTTTCCCTTTAATGTGTGACCCGCAGAACTCTATTGTGTTTAATATGCTGCTTGTTTTTCCAGTTGTTACTAACGAGCTCCTTTAAACAAAGCTTTTCTGCCTTTTTCACAGGTGAACCCCATGTGGATGGGGAGCCAGGTGATTTGCGCTTCCGAATAAAAGTTCTTAAGTAAGTGACTGGCCTGATTAGAC